AGATGCTGAACTTGGAAGGGGAAATGTTTCGTGTTGAAGTTGCAGTGCACTCACTACTCAGTATAAATAGGACTGTGAATGCACATAGAAACTACCACGTCTGCAGGTGAAAAAGTCAGTTGATGAACTTAATAAAACTGCTGAACTCACCATAAATATGTCTCAGAGACATGCTAAGCAATGGGGTTTGGGATGGAATACACAGGAAAACACCTTAGTGTACATGTAAGAGTTTAGTGTATAGAAAATAAATAAATTAGCAGATTCCCATCATCATATAAATATTCTCTTTGTCTTGTCTCATAAGCCAATAAATATATTTATCAAGACAAAAGTCATTCAGATATATAAATATAATTTATAGAAAAAACTGTTTTCAAATGTGTAATTTGGTTTGTATTCATTGTATTTTGAAGAAAAAAAAGAAACAATATAACACAGCCCAATATCTAACTTGATATGTCTTTTATCATTTAATCTTTTAAAGTCCCACCATATAAAAACTACCATATATTACTTCGCATGTCATTGTCTCGGATGAAAATGATTGAATTTATGAATATCTATTCCGAGTGGCCCAATATTAGCATAAATTCCACTAAAAATATTTCAAATTACATCAGTAGCAGAGTTTAACCCTGTAGGGCCATTACTCATGCCTGAGGTTACACGTCCTGCGCTTCGTCGTATCTAAAACCAGGACATCTTCTCGGGATCTAATATGATTACAATTGACTGAGTGCAAAATAACCTTGTACACTGATTCCAGATTAAAAACATCACCAGTACTTGTTGGACTGTCCTCAATGGTTTATTAAACGGATCATAAGCCAGCACTTGTTCCTGCTCATATTTCATATCCCCAGTTTTATGCCATGCTCTTCAAAGTTAATGTCCAGGATGAATAAGGTTAGATAAATGAGAGAATATTGAAATTTTACTGCAGTTTATTTGGTATTATTCTGTGTCACTGCTCGCTGTTTGCTTATAATGAGGCAATATCAATGAATACAGACCTTTGAAACACCATGAAAGACAGTTTTCAAATATTTTTAGTTCCTGTGCCTTATAAACTAAAATAAGCCATGTGAATGTCTGCCTTTATTTCACTACTGCAAATGACTTCAGAAAGCACCTAAAATACATGATGCCATGAGAAAAAAAGCTTTCCAGTTTACTCCAGTAAACCAACAGATGCCACCTGAACTGGTAAATGAATTTATTCTGATGATATGCCAGCGAAAATAAACACATTTTTCCTGAAATAAGTCAAATAAGCATTGTTCTGCTGAGATTGCATTGCTTTGCAACAGGCCAGTCATTAATTGGAGGCAGTCAATTAATCACAGCTGGTTGAGATGGCTGCATCTATTGATCTTGTCCCGGTGCTTATTTTTCATCCCTAAATGACACCGATTGCCAGATTTGACCAGCATGTGTAATGGACAGTAAAGAACCAATGACCCGAGTGTCAGTCTTGTCGCTGGTCAGGATCTCGGCACCCTCCCCCTTCAAATAGCATCTTTACCATTTAGCTTGGAAAGGTTTAGATTGCCCTTAGAGCACAGCAGCGAAACTGTGCGCTCTTGTGCTCAGATGACCTTTTCTGTTTAAGGCTTAATCTCTGACAAATGCTTGCTTTAATTAGCTTGATACCCCCTGCCTAGACCACCATCCTGCACAGCCCTTCTCTCTGTTTCTTTCTCTCTCTTTTTCTCTCTCTCTCTCCTGCATACACACAGCCCCCACTTGCCTCTGTGTGTCTGGCACTCTGAAAATCCTGCACAGTTTGAATTTTGGGGATTTTTCAGATTTGCAGTCACAAGCATCAGCTGACAACTAAGGAAAATAATCTTAAAAACAAGATGTTGTCATGCCCTATAAGAACACATCCTTGTTGAAGTTTGATATTTGCTATATCATTTCCAAAGTCGTCCCACCTTAAATGTCACATACAATTCAACTGAAAAAAAATCTGTCTGAGGGAAATAAAAGAAATAGATGTATAAAATAACAATGATAATAAAAATCTAAATGCTTCAAAAATTGTTTCCATAAGTGTACACATCTTAATCTAGTATTTTGTTTATCCACCTTTTAACTTGATTTAACCCCACTTTGTCTTGCTTAGCTCTTTCCAGGTGAACCCACATTATTTTCTGCAATAGTTAGTTCTGAACTTTGACATCTCCATTCCCAAACTTTAGTTGTCTTCTGATTGTGACATTTTTGTTGCATTAGGTGCATATTCAGCCTTTATTTTATGTTCACTAAAATACCTTTAATCATAAGCTTCATAGCAGACAGCTACAGCAAAAGGTTTTTGAGTCAAAACTGAGTGGTCTTAAGAATTATTAATGATTTCATCCACCTCGATAATAAATTTAGTTCCCTCTGAGAGAAAATAAGCCAGGATAATGATGCTGCGACCAGCATATATTAGATATGGTAATGGTAATTTCAGGCATGCTTGGTGTAAGAAGACCAAATTTAGTTTCATCATAATTCTACAAGGTTTTAGTGTATTTTAGTCAGGCCTAAATATTTTATTTGGAAGAAAAGGCTTCTGTCTTTTATTCCTCCTGCTTCGTGTAGACCGATTGAGAATCCAGGAGTCTGTTGTCACACAACCTGTGATTACCAGACAGTCCAGTTATTATTTCAGTGTTACCGTCAGGCTCTTGGCAACTTCATGACCAGTTTCTAGTTTCAACAATTTGGGGGAAATGTCTTGTTTTTCTCATGTCACTGTTGTTCTTTTCTCTCAACTGACATCCTTATACCGCTGTTGGAATCAAATGAACAAACTTTGGAAAAATCCTGCTGTAGCTGAGCTTTATTTCAGGTAAATCAGACTGTAATGTGTGGTGTATACCCTACAACACTGAAAGCTGAAATAAAATCAGGAAGTTGTTCAACTAGCAATTAGTTTAAGGGTGTTTGTTTACTGTACCATTTTTCAAAGCTATGATTTCTACCTGAAGGATTTGTTTTCACTGAAGGCGTTAAAATTTTTAACATGGGTTTGCACGTTTAACCCAGCCACTGCAAACTGTTTGAAACAACATGAAATAGAGTTAAACCAAATTGGGGCTGAATTCAGTTGATTGATAGAGCTGAGAAATGTAATTTTGAGAATATTACGCAAAATTATAAATTGGAAGGTAGGGTAACATGTAATAGTAACCCCCTTGGCTCATCCATTGATTTTCAAACATTCAGAAATAGTTGTAAATGTGTTTTTTTGTATCATTTCAAGAAGGACCTAATGGCTTAAAGTAAAAATCATTAAGTTGGAAATAATGTTTACTGAAATGATGTTATAATTACAAGCTAGCATCGTGGCCAAGCTCTGCCCATGTTGTTTTGATGTTGCTTAAATTCAATCTTTTCAAAGGCTCCTGCCTTTGAAAAGATTCTGTAGCAGATCTTGCATTTTTCTTCGCTGCAGAATAGCAAACAGAAGTAAAAGAGATGCATGGCTACAAATCCCTGTTTTATTGGAAAGGAGCCTAATTATTAGGATGTAAGTCAAGCCGTGACTTGAGGGGCCGACTCCTCCTTGCTTTATATTTATCCCCTCCTCTGCAGCTCCAGCAGCATTGCCACCATCACCAGCAGCAGAGCGTGGCGCTTTTATTACATCGCCCACAGGCAGGTTCAGCCCTGTCACATTCACACACAGACTCACGCGCACACACGCACGGACGAGCACGCTCACACAAATTCACAAAGCCTGCAGGACCGGCAGCCAGTTGAGTCCCCTCCACAGCAGTTAGCAGAGTTACCCCACGTCCCAGTGCTGCCACACACAGACCCTTGGGACAGCAGAGGGAGGGAGTGGGTATTATGGTAATACTAGAGCCTGCTGCTCCCTTCCCCTCTCCTGCAGCACAGCTGGGAAGGACCATCATTACAAGTATTGTAGCAATCTGTTTAAGAGAGACACATTGGAGGGTTTGGGTGACAGAGAGAGGATGAGTGCTGCATACATAGATCACATAAAAATGATTAAAATGTGTGTGAGGGGACCTGGAACAAAATGCAAAACTTGTTATGAACACCTTATATCAAATCTACTGTCAAAATGGCCTGTTGTAAATCTCTATTTTCCCCTTTTTTACTTTTTTATTTTATTAAAGGTTTCTCGAGCTGGTCATATCTCAAGACGGGGGGCCTGTGGCACATAAGGAATAAATAGGACATAAAGTACTTGAATCTCTAATGCCTCATATAGCTTTACGAATCTATATTGTGGTGTGTCACAAGCTGGAAATCCATTAGAAAAAGACAAATTGCACAGCCTTACAGTTATACCAAAACCCTGTTTTTTTGTTTTTTGTTTTTTTGTCAAATGAGCCCAATTTTGTGCAGAGAAAAAAATCTTTAGCTCAGTAATTTTGTCACAAATTAGGTGAAAAAGAAATACCTACAGAGAGCTTTTCAGATATTGATGACTTAAGACGGAAAACTTCCCTGAGCTCACATCAGTGCTTCAGTGTGGTTGTAAATTTGCCCGTTGCCTCAGATTGATCCCGATGCATCAACAAATTCTCAGACAGTATTTAGGTGTGGGATTAGACCTTCGGTAGGATTGTCATTCTCTCACTGTCAGATTACGCCGCTCGTCGCCATCCATCTGCGTGTCGCGTTTCAGGGCAAATGAGAAGACTGTGAGTCAGAATCTTCCTCACTCTCAATCATCGTCACAGCCATTTTTAGGAAACAGGGATATCCATTACTTCGCCTTTGCCCCCCTCCTCCTCCTCCATGTTCTATTTTCAGATCAACTTTAAACAGAAAGTTCAACTGATAAAGCACGCACAGAGGTGAAGGGTTATTTAATATTCTGAGGATGAACTATTAAAAATGCATATTATCTCATTATTCTTGCTGCTAGATAAATGGAAACTATCGTATATGTGCTAGACAGAAAATTGATCTGCTTCCTTCTTCTTCTCCTTTTTGTTCTTCTTCTTCTTGTGACCTAACAGGGAGCACTTGAAGAGGGGAGAAGGGTGGGAGGAGAGTGGTCTTTTTGAAAACTGCATCGATGCACTAATGCACTGAAATCTGAGCTCTTATTGGATCTGAAGGGCAGCCTGAGACAGCCATCCTCCAGCATCTACCCCTGTTTAAAGGTGAGGATTAAAGGCGAGTGCATAACTGGTGGCCTATTAGAGACTCATGAGAACATGTATTTAAAGTACCTTTTCTTAATTTTTTTTATTGTAAAAATACCCACTGTCAGGGTCAGTGAAATGTTGTTCAACAGAGACTTTTGTCACCCGCCCCCCAGCTTCCCCGCCACAGTCGCTTACACGTACACACTCACTCACTCCAGGAGGCCTTATTAATTATTTGTACCCACTTGACTTCATATTGTGCTTCCAGTGGCTTGGTCAAAGATTATAATTACCACATCCCTGTTTGTATCATTTTCCATCTCCTGTGCTTTTAGTGCAGTATTACTCCTCTTGTCCCTCACTCCCTCTCTTCCTCCCTCTCTCCCCGTATACACAAGACCAAAAGTGCAGGCACATCATTTATTGATAAGACAAAAAGAATGTAATGAAATTATCAATGTTCTTGAATTAATTATGAACATGATTAAGAAAGCTAAAATCTCAGGAGCCAGTCTCTCATTACCCATTCACTCTTAGGGATTGCTTTCATTCAGAGAAGGAGAGGCGAAAAAGCCTTCCAGCAGAGCCCAGTCCGGCTCAGCTCGTCTCCCCGTGTGCCCGTCTTGCCTCGTCTCTGCTGAGGCCAGCTGACCGGTCCTTTCGGGCTGACCAGCCACCAGCCAGACCGGCGGCTCTCCTGTACCGGCGCTGTTGGACCGTGATGCAGGCGGGAGCAGCCGACTGCCAAGTGGCCTCTGACATTTGCTGTGGAGAAGAGGGGATGTGCTCTGCCCTCTTGTTCCGCTGCGATCAAGCTTCAGGGTCCTGACCTGCCTCTGAAAGGAAACAGTCAAGGTAAGTGAGACTTGTCACACTTTTAGGCAGACCCGAGTTGCTTAGATTTTAGAAAACTACTACAGTTTTCAACTTCTCAAAAATACTTGGAATTTTGTGTTTTAGAGAATTGTTTCTGTCGATTTATGTTTTGTTTACTAATAAAATAGTTAAATATTTCCTAACACCATACAAAATTCTTAAGATAAATGATTTAAAAATTTTCTGCATATATGTGGAGATAGTGTGTGACACAACAAAACAAATAAAAACAACATATATTATATATATAATTATTTCTCATAAGAGAGTAGAATAGGAGTTTACTCTGTAATTCATTGCACCAAGATAAATTTGGTTTGTTTTATTGCACAAAACATCTTGAGTCAGTTTTGAATTAACTGGAGAACCAAAATCAATACATTTTATTTTCAGCTGCCCACATTGTAAATTTGTAATTTGTAAATTTCTGCTAATTTGACAAGTTTGCATCACTCTTTTATTCGTTTCATTCCTCTATAAATGAATTACTGATGTCAGGGACGATTCATTTATATTCAGTGAGTGTGGCAGAAATGTTCTGTCAGAGCAGCGAGTCTTGGCTTCACTCTAGCGCTTCTGTTTCTCAGTCACATGGAAGAGTGTGTTGGACAATACTCCCAAAAGTATCCAGAGTTTGAAAGAAAGTCACCGTCTCTTTTCTCTTCATACGTTCACTGCTGAGAACTCCCTGGCTTTCTCGACACGTACACGCTCTCAAACACATGCCTGAACGCAAACAAAGATAAGTAGACACAGACAGATGAAACTGGGTGTCATTTCACCTCCTGGTGAAAGAAGAACATACTCTTGCTCACACTCACAGAAGGACACACTAGAGCGTGTTCATTTTTACATATAATCAACCTCTTTACTTTGGTAATTTGCCATAAAGTTTCTCATCTTTTGTTTTTTTCTTTTGGGTAAAAACAAAAACCTCTCTCTTATTCATAACAGTTTTTTCCATCTTGGTTATGATTTCCTTATTTCTTCTTCAGTATCTAGGAAAGAAAAGCTCTACAATAAAGTGGGAGAAATCTCAGGGGTTAATGGCAATCCTCCTTGTCCTGGAGATTGATCCAAGTATTGGATCGCACATAAAGCTGCAGTTACTGGATATTACCCTCCTGCTATCGGCCTGCAGTGATGGCCTGGATAAGAAGTGCTTACCAAAGAGGATGCTCCTTCAGGGCAGATACGGTTTCCCAGCCCTCTGGGAACAACAACCACATGCCTGCTGCTTGCTCAGGAACTTTCTAAGCTCATCGAGTAAATCCAGGGGCCTTATCAAGTTACTGGCCCACTGAACTGCTCAAAAAATGTTTATACCTCTTTAGGTTTTGAACTGCAAAGGGGAAGGGGCAGCAATTAAACAGGCCCTGTGTTTCACAGATAAGCGTACTGATCGTTTGGCTCAGGTTTTATGTCACATGAAATGGATGGATCTCTCATTCAGTTCTGGTGAGAATGCAGGTTCATAGCATATAATGTTGCTGACTTTAGAAAAGTTTACTTTTCATTTCGACACATTATAGTTATTGCTTTAAAGGCTTTAAAGAGGCATGCTTCATGACACTGTGCTCAAACCAGCCTCCTCTGTATTCCCTGTAGTGGCTTTTTCCACAAAATGTAGCAGGGATTAGCTGTATCCAGATCTTTGCCAAGCTGGGCAGATCCACACATGAGCATCTGCTGCATGTCTCTCTGTAGTATTACCCATGAAGCACCTGGCTCATGCCACACAGCAGCTCCGAGAGCCCAGATGGCAGCTAAGCAGGCTAATTATTTCAACACAAAACTCTGGTGTCCCACACCGGCACTCTGGAGCCACGTTGGCACACTTGCTTTTTTCTGTGCCTACTTCTGCTGGAGAGGAACTCTGCCATGAAACTATAAAGATGTCAAGCGGGTAATTGTGAACAGGGACAGGGCTCAGTGCAGTACTTGACATCCAGATGTATATTTGGTTGTTGGTGAATCCCCTTTAGAGCTGCGGAGACATGCACATGATGATGGTCTGTTGTTTTGTCCCATTACTCATTCGTACAAAACTGACAAACAGATTTGACATTAACTCACGCTGGAAAAAATTCAATTCAGATCCATTTGGTTTTATGTATGTTTGTAGCCGTGACTCTTTTCTTTTACTATTTAACTGGGACTTTATGCATTTAAGGTGTGCATAACTGTGGTGTGGAGGAGAAAGAAAATGTTTTTAGTTTTTAAAACTTTCAAGCAAATTATGATCTGAAAAGTGTGGTGTGTGCTTGTATTTACTCCCCCTGAGGGAAACATTTACAGCTCCAAATCATTTGATGCATGTTTCAACCAGATTAGCAAATAGAGATCAAAATGTTTGCTTATTCTTTGTACAACCTGCCTCAATTTCAAAGAAAAAGCATCTGTGAAAATATGTTTGAAGCCTTGCCATAAAATTTAATTTAGACTTAAGCTTTGACTAGGCCATTTTAATCCATGCCTTCATCTAAACTATTTTCATTTACCGTTGTCAACAAGTTCAGAGCACAGCCTCTAACATGGTTTCTTCTATGATTCCTGCATTTAATGGCATCTTTCTTCCTATGAACTTTGACCAACTTCTCTTTCCCTGCAAAAATAAATCCATCTCCACACGATTCCACCAACATCACTATGCTTTACCATAGGGATAGTGTGCTCAGAGTGAAGTACAGTGTAAGGTATTGTACTACAGGCAACATATTCATGTAGGTCAAAAAGTCTCATCTTGCCAGAACACCATAAAGCCATATGAATGCTGTACATGCATATAGTGCATAAATAGTATTTGACCTGTCAACAAACTCTCCCACCTGAGCTGTGGATCTCTGCAGCTCCTCTAAGGTTATTATTGACATCTTAGCTGCTTGTCTCCTTGCCTGACTTGCCAGTTTAGGTAGCCAGTCATATCTTGGCAGGTTTACTTTTTGTACCAAGCTACAATTGTTCAATTATGTTCAACAACTTTCTGCCTGACCTCTTGGTTGTTTTCATAATGCTGTTTATTCCTTGGCATTTCCTAAGAGACATCAGAGAACAGATTTCACTGGGATTATGCACACAGGTGAATTCTGTTTAGTGATTGTGTGGCTTCTAAATTCAGTTTATTGTACTGTATTTCATTTAGAGGCCTCAAGGTAAAAGGAATGGTTACAACATGCTCAGTGCCTTTTTCAGGTTTTCACTTGGAACAAAAAAGGCAAAATAACCTATAATTATTCTTTGATTTCACTATGCTTAATTAGTGTCAGTTTGTAACATAAAACAACCAATAACATATACAGAGGTTGGAGGTAGTTATGTGACAAAATCCCCCCAAAAAGTTAAAATTTTACGACACAGTGTGCAGGAAGCCTTTTTATTGCTTTCTCTTTTATTTCTGTGAACTACAGAAATAAAAAGATAGTAATAACCAGGTTCTTTTTTTCTTTTTATTCCTTCTCTCTTCCTGTTTTACTGACTGGCCCTCGCAGCTTTTATGGTAGTTCCTGTTTATAGTGTTTTGGCTGTTTCTAATCCAACGATAACCCTCAACTACTTCAGGCGTGGCTCAAGCTGGGATCTAACCAAATTATGCCTTTTGGTCTAATAACATCACATTGGTCACATCTTTATCTGACATCAGAAGCTGTGAGTTTCTCCCTACATCCTCTCTGAGGCCGGTGATGAAGCGTGGTCATTAGGGCCCATCTTCTGCTTCCATGACCACATCACAAGAAGAATTGCGTGTACTTGATAAAGCTGGCACATAAGGGAAGGAGGTGCAGCATCCACAGCGATAACCTACTGACTCCAGCATTAAAGACTCCACCACAGGGAGGTAGGATATATCGTGATCTATTGGCTCCTATTAGAGAAACGTATTATTTGCTCTTGCTTGTGTGTTTTGTACTCCTGTAGCTCTGTGTGCTGGCATGAGGAATGTACTGTACCTGTGTGAAAGAAGTGCAGACCTTGTAGCTATAATCTTCTAAATTTGAATCCAATTAGGCTTCAAATTTCTGACTCAGAAATTTTGTGCAACATGGATATTGTAATGTTAGACAACTTAATCTATATACTAATCCATAAGGACACTCCACAGTAAACCACCTGGCTTTCATAAACTTCAGTAAAATACAGCATTTTACATAAATATTCAGTTTCATAATTCATTAAATAAATCAATGTTATATTAATAAGCAGCGCTGCTCTTCCTAGTGCTGGGCTTTGGGATGTCCAGTGGCTCCTCACTTTGGATGCCGAACTGAACGATAGGAAAGAAAAGTAAAACTAAAACTTTGTAGGAAACTCACACAAGACTTGCCATAAATAACAAAGCATGCAATACCCCCCAAAAGATACATAAAAAATATAAACCATAATAAAATATAAAAACACAAAAATTGTATATGACAACTGAATGTGACTTGTAGATCAGCCTTGGTTTGCAGTTGTCTGATGATTATTTTGTTTTGTTTTTTGTTCCTCTCTGGGTGTCTCAGCTTCTTTAGGCTCTTCAACTTCTGGGATAAATGTCGCTATATGGGCTTAATCCACCAATCTCAAACTAAATTTGAAAACGTTTGGGCCACATGGCGCTTTCAAAAAATAATTTCGTACCAGTATTTTGAAAATGGGGGACAGACCTATATGTACACAAAGGACCCATGACGTAGATAAAATTGTATCTCTAACTTCTTAAAGTTAACTAATCATAGATTGTTTTGAATGGATTCACTAAATTTGTAAAGCAGCAAATTCCTTTAACCAAATGTTAGGAAAAGCAAATATGGGGAAAAAAATTATCCTTGCCTCATTTGCAGATCTTCAGACAAAACTCTTCAAGCGAAACTCATCTGGGTCATAAAACATTTAAATGTTGGAGATTTTAGACACCTTTGGCATAGGGTGAGAGGTTGTTGTGGTGAAATGTAAAAGTTTATTCAGGACATTTTGAAGGGCCTTTGTGAAAGCAAGTTAAA